TATATTAAATATTTCGAAAAAAATTTTATCAATTTTTAAGTTTTTTATTTTCAGTATTAAAAAATAAAAATGTATTCTAAAAATGTAGCGCAAGTGTCTATGAAYTATATTTAAAAGAAATTTTTTAAAAATATTGATTAGAAACAAAATTTATTTCATTTTTCAGATCTCTGTGGGACACCCTATATATTATGTAATACATTTTTCTAGCTTAAGTAAATATAATTCTCCAGTATTTAAATATTTAATTACAGATAATATTTTATAGCTGATTGAACAATATTTATAATATAATTTATTTAATCTATTATTAATGATCACTGCATCCTATAATTATAAAATAATAGTATAATCATTGAGTTATAATGTAATAAATGTTGTTCGCTCAGTATAAAATCATTGTTTAACTATGAAATATATMTAAAATGTTTTTTACAATTTTTAATTGGTGAACATGTTGTTAATAGTAGGCTTAAGTAATAAAGCAAGTATAGGCTAAATTAATATTTTATCTAGATTCGTTAATTTATTAAAATTATCTGCATCTAATACGTTCATTTTGAATATTAGTTTTTATTAATTAGTCTAGAAATTAAAAAACCTTAAATTTCATCTTAAAATAAAGAACAATATAGAGTAAGAGGAATCATTTTAGAAGGCATTCCATTGCAATGATTGTAGGATACCTATGATTTTTAGAAATAAAAATAAGGAATAATACAAAAAAAATACTGTGTTTATCATTTACTATTTATATAACTGTAGAAAATCGCTTACGAGCTAAACTAGAAATATGCCGAATAAATATATTTAGGTAATAGGTATTATTTATAACTTGATGTCATAACCAATTAGGTGCCTCTTTCCTATACATTCACCGACGTAGAACCACATATAAACTTCCAGAGCAATGAACGATTGGACAGTAGCATCCTATAAAATATAATGAAATATTTAAAATAAGTAAACATTTTGATAGGTACTTAAAAACAAGATATATTTTAAATTTAAGTATTAAYAATACGGCATGCATAACAAATTTATTATACTACAAAATATTTGATTTCAATAAATAAAACTGTACACAATTATTCAATAGAAATGATTGAGGAACAAATCTAGTTTAGGTATCGTGCGAATTTTGCAATTTTTAATCGGAAACCTGTGTATTTCGACGAGTTTAGAACGATGGTGCAAAAATTAGTTGGCGTAAACCATTATTTTGGAAGTTATAGCCTTCCAAACTTTACCATTATACGTATATACACATGCGCACATATTGGGCTTTRCAGGCCAAGATTGAACCGGTGAGCTACCGAGAAAATTTCGATGGGCCGCGTAAAATTTGGGCCGTTTATATTTTTGGACAAAAGTAGTCTAGTATTTTTAGATAGTGATATAGTAAAATATAGATCTAAAATCACGGTTAAAACGATAAATGCGTCAGCTGTATAATACTGACGTATAATAGTGTATTGGTTATTTAATTCACAAGAATTGTCAATCAATAACACACGCTGCAATAGAGCCTAGCGTTAAAGTATGTACSAAGTAAATAATAAMTAGAAGTGTGCTGACTTCCTGCTTATACAAATAAATATATTCCAATAGACCGTAATTATCATTGTATGGGTTTTYCCACTATTATCGGAATATCGTCCAACGTGCAACAATTAATGGRATTTAAAATGATTTACTTCAAAGTATTAATAATGAAGAAGTTATTGACTTAGGGGGGCGATAGAAATTTAAAATCTCGGTGGGCCGAAAACTCTCAATCTATAACTAAGCTATAACTTCCAAAATAATGGTTTGCGCCAACTAATTTTTGCATCATCGTTCTAAACTCATTGAAATACATAGGTTTTCTAATAAAAATTGCAAAATTCGCGTGGGACCAAATTTATGCCTAATTTAGTTTTTAATACGAACATTTAAGATAGGTGTCTCATGAACTAACCTTAACGGTAATATTTTTCCAACATCCAGTTCGAGCTGTTTGTGTCATTTTATAAATCCCATTTTTTATTTCCGGCAAGTCGGATAATTTTGGAGGTGTTAACTCTACTTTTGCGTATTTCGCAAAAGTTTTTATGTTTGGTCTGGCTGCTTCAATGATGATTGCTATATAACATAAATGAACACACAATTAAAATAATACTTTTATTTTTGAGATTTAACTAACGAACTTATACTTACAGCTAATCGAGCTGATTTTCTTGAATAATCGACTCATTTTGATAAGTTTTTAAATTACAAAATATGCTTCAATTATAGTAGAACACAAAATGAAAATGTTATAATGTTAATGATTAACGAGGTCTTATGAATTATTAGTTATTTCCATGGTTACGAAAGCCATACCACAGATATAGATAATAAAAATAGACTAGATTGCCAACTATATAGTAAAATTTAAAATTTAATAATCCCACCAAAATTTGAATTCTTGTTTAAAATATTTTAAATGTATTTTAATTTTTTTTGTCATGGATATTGATTTTTGTGATTTTGTCACAATAAATTATAATTGTATATTTTAAAAAATACGTTTTTTTGAATAAAATATTTACGTAGTGTAAATTCTTTAGAGTTTAAATATATTATTTAAAATTTTAAACAATAAAAGAATTATTTGTTAAAACCAGTCTGTTGTTCTTTAACAATCATATAATAGCATTGATTATAAGTAGTACTATTTATAATCAATGATAATAGGTATATTATTATTTATTATTAGAGTTAGGCTTAGGATGTTGATGATCTGAAAAACACACAAAAATGCACCAAAAAAAATTCAAAACTGACCTTAAAAATTATCTAAAAACTAATTAAACAAGTGAAAAACGTATTTTTAAATAGTAATTTTTATTAGAAATATGTGTGTAATAATGGGTGTAATAGTAATTTAAAATATGAATTATAAATATATTTATTCCATACAATTTATAAATATAATAAGTACTCGATAAGCGTGTATGATCGGCGTATGTCTGAAAGAACACTTGTTTCATCAATATATAACCATAGATAATAATATAATCTGCAGGGCCGGATTAAGATTTTTGGCGCCCCGGGGCAAACCTACCTAAAATTAAGAACTACTTTTTAATAATACATAAAMATAACATTGTTTTACTATAATTTGGCATTTATTATATAATATTAGAAATATATTAAAATTATATGAAAACAATCTTTTTAATATTACTATATACCTAAACAATGTAAATACATTTTCATTAAATTCA